CGTCCATCCAATACTTTATTTGTAAAAAGGCATAAAAGCAGCAAACAAACACTTACATGTTTCAGCTCCCAAACTGGGCCTTAGTCGTAGCCAACTGCGACTAAGGCCCAGTTTGGGGGCTGAAACATATAAGCATTTGTTTGCTGCTTTTATGCTATTTGCAGATAAAATATTGGATGGACGGATCCCCTTGCGAGTGTCGTTTGTTTCTACCTATGGTAATGTTAGTTTTAAACCCGTATTATTTTTTAATAGATATCTTATGTTTTATAGTTGAATATATAATAGATTGACATTGTAAATGGTGTTTTTATATAAATAAGTTTTAATTTTTGTTTATTTATTCTTACTGTTTTGCTGTAGTCATTTCTCTGATGTTTTATAACTCTGTGGAGCCCATACGAGTGGGGGACTAAATTCCTGCGCTGTATTATACCGATACCTCGTACGGTTAATTGGGAATCTTGGATACTAGCAATCGAATTTTCACCTTGACATGGGAGGTGGTGGATAGTATTTAAGTGGTGTTTGAAAGAACAGTTTTACCTCTATGAATAATCCTTAATGGTGAAACGCATGGCTGACTTCACATGGGTTTTTGTGTATTACAATGTATTATGTTTTCACGAATAAACACTTTTGATTTTGGTGAAGATCTACAGAGTGCAGCTGACTTTTGATACATACAATCTGTCAAATATTTAAAAGGCCTGAGCTTGACAAACATAATTATTACTCTACCACCTGCTTACCCCCTTCACTCCATTCATCCTCATACCCTTCATCTCATTACCCAAGCCCATACCCTGCGGAGCTAATCAAGATAAATATATACCAGGCCCTACATGATAAGCCAATTGTTTGACTCTATGGCCCAATTCCCACTTATATCTTTAGAGGAGATTAGGGATTCCTGCGTCAGGAACCTGCATTTTCCTGCAACAAGAATCCCTAATCTGCCGTTTACAAGCGGCAGGTGTCACCCATTCAAGTTAATAATTGGGTGCTAGCCGCTGTATTTGAACACTGGCACACCGCATGCAATTGCATTTGATACGATTACATTACATGTCACTATCGCTGGACACGCGATCATGTGTGAGGGAGAGTGATTTGATGCATGCAGCAGTGAGTTAATTAACACAGCCTTGGTGCATAATGTTGACATTTCTATGTTAAATTCTATCTGTCTAGCTGCCCAGGATAACGTTTTGTCAAGATCCTTTTGTAAACTGTAACTATCCTGCTGAGTTGTAATAAGTATCCATTACATTTTGTAAAATGGTTACCTTAATGTATTCAGTTCACCAGGTTGCCCATAAAAAGAAGTGGACACAATACTGATACTTGTGGAACACCACTTGGATCCTTTTGAAGTATGACAACTACCCCACGTCTCCTTTCCTCTTGCGCGTTCATTAGCCATTGTTCCCTAGTCCTTGCACCTTCAGCTCCTGCACTAGGCCATTAAGATCAAATGCGTTTCCAAAAGCATATCAGCCAGCAGATTTAAACTTGCCTCTTCATTGTCTCTTTCACTTTATTCAGTCAGTCAGGGGGTTGGGCTTCTTAAACAGATGCTGAGGTTAATTGATTTACTGTATACTGTGTATGGTATTTAATATGTTCTTGATGGGCCCCTTTCTATGCAATTTGTATTCTTCCACTGGGTCCTGTTCATTGCTATTTTCTCATTTGTATGGTTGTAATTGTTAACAGTAAATAAAACAAAGATTTGACCATAAAGTTCCCTCCTCATTGTCTATCTTTCCTGAAACTATGGAGATTTCCTGTTATTAGATTATCTTCAATAGATTTTTGCATTTCATTCTGCAAAATGCTAATATATTATACAGTTTGAAGTGCAGACTGCTCTTAAAGTTCCTACAGACAAATGACAGATCAATGGCTAATCCAATGTCTATGAACACCCCATGATCTTCCCATTCTTAAGCATATCATCGCTTTGCATTTTCCAGTCTGATCTCTAATTTTTTTTGGGGTTGTCTACCAATGCTTTGCCTCCCTTTACTATAGCTATAAACAGCCATGCTGGACTGACCTGAATGTGCATATATCTTCCCACATAGGATCTTGGGAAATTTGTACCCACCATAAAAAAGTTTTCTTGGTGCTTGATGGTATTAAGTAATGTAGGGTTATACTGCCACCTACTAGAGAAATGAACACTAGGTACATAAAAACTGAAGGTCTGCCCCTTTAAGAGCAACCCCCTCCTAACTCACATCTAGCCAATTGTAGGAAGCAGTCCAAAGAGGAAACATGGCTTATAAGGGGAAAAATCTGTGTCCCTCAATAGACACTGTACAAATATTCTATTTCCTGTTGTCAATTGAAGGACACAGCATGAGCATTGAGCAACACATGAACATCCAAAAGCAGTCCAAACAGGGCAGGCAACCCTAACAACACAGACAAACCAAACCAACAGGAAAAAAACAAAAGGCATTAAACAGCGGAATTTTTGCAGAATTTTCTGCCAAAAACTAGACCTTGTAAACAGAAGACCAGGTCCCAGCCTTACAGATTTGAGTGACAATGGCCTCATGATAAAGAGTCCAAGGGGTACTCGCTGCTCTAGTGGAGTGGGATTTAATAGGAAAAGGCACTTTATAGAATGCAACTCATAGGCCTGTCTAATCCACTGAGAAATGGTGAAATGGTCCTCTTTTAGGACCTTCTGGGATGGCAAACAAGGAGTACATTTGCCTAAAAGAAGCAGCAGCTAAGAGGTAAACCCTGATGGCCCTCACAACATCCAGACAATGAAGAGACCTCTTTAGGATGACCCAGAGCTGGACAACGGAGGTAACCCAATATTCATAATAAGGTAAAAGACAGAGAACACTGGGGGAAAATGGAGGCCTTTGGTCTCAAAACAACCTGGTCTTTGTGCAAGATCAAACAGAAATCTTCACAGGATAATACTGACAACTTAGAGAGCCGTCTAGCTAAAGTGATGGCCAAAAGGAAAGCTACCTTATGGGAAAACATCAAAGAAATGTTAAAAATGGGGGTCTTTGTAACACTGACAAGACAAACAGGGTTATTCACTAAAGGGTGAAGAGTTTGGAGAAGGGATCAATCTAGACCAACATAGCGGATTTGGAAAAATTCTGCAATTCGGCTCACTTTCCAGTTCAGCTATGTTGTCCTAGATTGTTCACTTCTCCCGCCTCCTCCAAACTCTTCACCCTTTTGTGAATGACCCCATAAGTTTAACCCCTTCGTGACGGGAGACGTACACTGTACGTCCAGCCACAAAGGGACCAAATGACTCGTCACGTACACTGTACGTGACGAGTTATTTGCTGCACTAGAAGGCTGCTAACCGCTGAGAATCAGCGGTTACCTTTCAGTAATAGATGTCTAACTATCTAGAGATCCATTACTGAAAGGGTTAACCTTTTTCAGACACCCGATACCTTAATATCGGGTGTCTGAGAGTCACAGCAAAGCAGACACACATGTCGGCTTTTGCCGGCATTCTGACAGCTCGTATAGATCGAGAGATATCTCTCTCAAGCTATACTGGCTTTTTTTTTTTTTATCTTTTGACTTTCAAGAATAGATACAAAATGTTATGTATTAGACACATAATGTATCTATTCTTGAAAGTAGAATGTTTAAGTTTTCTGAAACATTCACTGACAGCTGAATCCTGAACTGCTGCAGGATCAGTGTCACTAACTTATTATCGGCTGTTCTGAAGTTTGAAGCAGCCTGATAATAAAAAAAAATTATTAATTTATCAAGCAGTAATAGTGAGATTAATTCACAATGACTGCCTGATATAATTAAATAAATAAAATTTGTCAGTATAAAAAAAGTGAAAAGTGTAAATAAATTAAAAAAAATAGTGAAAAGTGTAAAAAAATTAAAAATAAGGGACAAATAAATGAATGTATGTATTGCATTTTTTTTTAGCTGTGCTGGTTTTGTTAAAAAAAAATACTACAAATCAAAACTGGGAAAAAAAGTTTTTTTTTACGTTTTTTCCTCTTTTTTTAATTTGTATTTGTCCTAAGTGAGGCGTTAGACACACATATGTGATATAAATATATAGCCCTATCTGTCCTCTAAAAAACAATATATAATATGTGTGGGTGCACTTTGTAAGAAAGTATATTACTGACGTGGAAGAATCACACAGCAAAAATGTCAAAAGTGTGTCAGTCATTTACGAACAGAAACCAAAAACAAGCTCAGTCATGAAGGGGTTAAATCTCATAGTTGGAGCAAATGAAAGTGTGAATAGGTAGCAAAAAGATGAAGGGGACATCCATTCTCTTGAGGACAGGAAGCGTAACTGGCAAAGGGTGAGGTGGGGGTGGTTATAGTCTTAAAAGGGCAGACCTTCAGTTTATGTGCCCAGTATCCATTCCTCCTGTAGGCAGTATAACTCTACATGGCTTACTACCATTAAGCTGCATCCCTCAGTGGAAAATACCAAAATTAGTCTGTTTTCAGGAACTTTTAAATTACCCATATATCTACAAAAAAAAATTATGACAGAACGAAAACTCCAACCAATCATCACTAGAAAATGTACTGGTGTGTGGAATTCAGCTATGACGTTGCACGGTGAGCAAGACTGTTAAGTTTCTCTGGGACAAGAACTGCTGTAATTCAACACATTGATGTGTCAGCTGGATGGCAGCAGTGAGCCATAATGCCTTGCGTCGTTACAACACAAGGCACTCTTTACTTTTTTATTTGGATTCTGTAAAGTGTACCCCCCATTAATGTCTCCGCGCAGCAGCACTTTACATTGCAATGACCCCCCAGTGACACTCAGCGTGCTGTGGAAAAATGCGGTATGTCTGCATTTTACAGCATCGCACCCACACTGTGGTGTGAATGAGGCACACAGAATGTAATTGTTTTCTATGTGCCCTAGCAGTGAGTGGTGCATGTGTGAACTAGCTCTAAATAGTATTTTATGTAAATCTTTCAAGAAGTATAGCCAGAAAAGTTTATGAATTTGGTGTGATTTTATTTTGTCAAAACATGCTACAAATTATGTAAAAAAAATGGTAATGGAAAACAAACTGTGCAAAAGACATATATCACACGAGACACAAAGGTTGGCTAGAGACTGGCATGCTGGGCTAGGAACGCTCTTATCCTCTGCAGAAGCTCCTTCTTCACACTGTCAGGCACCAGGGCTGGAAGAGGAAATACAGCAGTGATTAGTGGAGAACAGGAGGTCATCTCAGGGATAACAGGGAAACATTTGTCACTACACTGTAACATTGGATAGAAGAACTTCTCCAAACACAATCTGATGGCAGCATCAATTTTACATTTTGTTTTAAAACACTGCATTGCATTTTAAGGCACTAACAGTTTAAACTGGCAGGATCCCTATGGAATCATTTACATAATTTATCTCCTTCAGGTATAAGAAATCTGTAGTGCCTGCCTAATAGTCAGTGCTACTGCTTTGTTTACTATAACATGGTGAGCCAGCATGCATTGGAGTAGTGAGCAGCTGCCTGCAAACCCCAGGGACTTAACCAACAAGATGGCGCCCTCCTGCAAAAGTTAGCAATTTTGAAGAGCACGAAGAAAGATCTTTAGGGCCCATGTACACCTACGCCTTTTGGTGTGTTACCACAACGCATGTTATGTATGTTCTAGCAATTTTTGTGTTAAGATCTATTTTTCAAATGACGAGCTGCATGAGATCTACCAAAGAAAAAAACAAACTCCCTCGCTCTCTCTCTCTCCTGACTCACCTTGCTGTATTTTGAAAACAGTGTAGTGCAACAGGCTGTGTAAACTAATATTCTTTGATGTAATACATAGCACTTCAACCACCAGTATCCACCAGAAAGGTGTCAGGGAGCTTGGCTCAGCAGACTCAGGTTAATAGGTAATCACGTGTGCACAGCTAAATAAATATAACAAAATGGAATAAAGGGGCCGCCATTCACACCCTTTGTGATCTACCAGCATCAGCTTTGAGAGCTACTGGTAGGTCACAATCTACCTAATGGGCACCCCTGATCTAGGACATTGTGGTGCCTGATCAGCTTCTTTTCTGGAAGAGATTGACAACATTGAACCCAAACCAGCTCAGAGCTGAGCGTTCCAGGTTCATGAACTAATGAACAGATCTCCCCTTATCTCCTGCTGCTCTCCATCTTGAAACCCAGCCATAGGAGGTCCAAGACACCGAGGAGGGATAGGTAACACAGTACACATGGCTGGGGGGAGGCAGAAGTGGGGTTGGAAAGGAGGTTTGGAGGAGTGTTACCTTAATTCACATGTACAAATCACTTCTACTACACAGCTGAAAATGTAAACTACATGGAGATTCTAATATTAACACTTCCTTTTGTAGGTCACAAAGCTAAGCCATGCTGCCTCATAAACAGCATGAGCATTGTCAGCCTGCAATAAGAAAATGCTGTTACTTGCAGGATCTGCATGTTAAAAACTCTGCAACAGATTAAAAAGGAATAGCTGTATAATGTGTACCTATAGCCAAAACTTTATTTTTAGTTTTGGATAGAGTAGGAAAGGGGTAAAGTCACACAGCTATGTACCTGTCATTTTGCCAGCAGCCAAGGCTTTGACAGTGTATTCTACTCAAACTCCTTTTCAGCATCAATACCTTCTTTTAAGATCTGAGTACTACAGGATTTTAACATGCACTGTTACCTATTGTAACCCCTGGCTGAACTTGAAGGAGCTGGATGGATTTCCATAGAGAGGAATCTTTAAATTATACAGACCTAATCACAATCAGGAGTAGGTAGAGCTTTTTATGCTGTAGCTTAACCACCATTTGACTATTATTATAATACAGGATTTATGTAGCGCCAACAGTTTGTGCGGCGCTTTACAATATAAGGAAGACATTACAATCATAATACAATTCAAGACAAGATGGTAAGGGGGGCCCTGCCCCTGAGGGATTAAAATCTAAAAGGAAGGGGGAAGTGATACATGAGGAGGTAGCGGTGCGGGGATGAATTGTTTGAGAATGTGATGGTTCAGTGGTTAGGTTGAGGTGGGATAGGCTTCCCTGAAGAGATGAGTCTTAAGGCATTGCCTAAAGGCAGTTAGAGTGGTAGAGAGACGGACAGGTTGGGGTAAAGAGTTCCAGAGGATGGGAGAGACTCTAGTGAAGTCCTGGAGACAAGCATGGGAGGAGTTGACAAGGGAGCTGGAAAGCAGGAGGTCTATTGAAGAGCGGAGGGGACGGTTAGGGTGATACTTTGAGACCAGGTTAGAGATATATCCAGGGGCGGAGTTGTGGATGGCTTTGTAAGTGGTTGGTAATATTTTTAATTTGATTCTTTGGGCTATTGGAAGCCAGTGCAGGGATTGACAGTCAACCAGAGCACTCAGTGATGCTCTGGTTGACTCTGTTCTTGTTTCTTATATCAGATTTGGGAGGACTGGTCTAGTTCAGGTAAGATGCTGCCAGATATATTACTTGGATAGATTATTTTGCCTCCTAGAGTGAGCTGAAGTAATCAGTTTGCGTATACACTGAGTGGCCAGATTATTATGACCACCCCATCAGTACTTCGTTGGGCCACAAGATGACTCCACGAGATGTTGAAAGGTGATGCGAGGAATCTGACACTGCACTGTTGCCCTTCTGTTGTCTTGTACCAGTCTTGCCACTCTCCGTTCTGCCCTAACATTGACTAGTCGCTGATGGCTACAATTCGCACGTTCAGACCCAGTTTTTCGGCTGACAGTCCAGTCTTTAAACACTTTAACAACAGCTGCTCTTGAACATTTAACGAATTCTGCTGTTTTGCTGATACTCGCTCCATGGCACCGAGCGCCAACAATTATCTCACGTTCAAAGGCTGTTAAATCGCGTTGTTTCCCCGTATCTTCAGAAAACAATCACTTCTACTGTCGTGGTTAACAACCTGCTTCCCTATTTATAATGGTCTGGCCCTCTAGCAACGTCAGCGCGAAATTATAGCTAATTATAGCTAATTTGCCTACAAACGTCAGGTGGTCATAATAATCTGGCCACTCAGTGTATAT